GTGTGTGTGTGTGTGTGTGTGTGTGTGTGTGTGTGTGTGTGTGTGTGAAACACTTAGAACAGTGTCTACACCTGTTCTGTGACCAGCAGGCTTAGGCAACTGCCAACAGCATGTCATACGGAGTCTCTGGAGGGTACCGCCCATATTCCAGCTCCTTGACCTCTCAGGAAACTCCCCTGGTTCTCTGTCAAGCTGCTGTATGCTGTGCCACATGCCATGTCTCACAGAGTGTGCCCTCAGCCCCCTGCAGGCTCAGGAGACAGTGCCTGTGATCAGACAATCCCCAGCAGTATTCTCCAGTTCCTCGGCCTGGTGCACCGCTCCTACCCCCAGGACCCAGCGTGGAGGGCCCCTGACTTCCTCCAGACCTTGGCCATCATCACCTTCCCTCTGGAAACCCAGAAGGTAGGTCTTGTCTTGCTCATAGATCTCAGGGTGGGCAGCTTTGGACGTCATCATCCTTCCCTGGTGAAGGACCTTCCTGCCTCCCAAAGTTAAAACGCACGTTGAGCTGGACACAGAATAAACAACATGGGTAATTTCCTGGATGGGGGGCAGCTCAGGGTCAGTTGCAGCTCCAGAGTCCCGTTTTTTTGTTTGTTTGTTTTGGGGTTTTTTTGGTTTGTTTGTTTTTTGAGACAGGGTTTCTCTGTGTAGCCTTGGCTATCCTGGAGCTCACTCTGTAGACCAGGCTAGCCTCGAACTCACAGAGATCCACCTGCAGAACTGCCTCCCGGGTGCTGGGATTATAGGTTTATGCCACCACCACCCAGCCTAGAGTCCAGTTCTTATTTGTTTGTTTGTTTGTCTGTTTGATTTAGATGTTAGAAATCTTATAATGAGATACGTGATGATGGGGCAAAGCCACTCAATAATTGATCTACTACAACAAACATACCTGTTATGAAGGTGAAATTTGGCAATTTGAGTAGATAACATGCTACACATGGTAAACATTTAGAGGGATGAGAGACAAAGTCTGAAATTTAATCATAAGAATAACTCTAACACTTGCCTATGAGTCGTTTGGAGTACACGGAGTGTCAGTTCTGTGCAGGGAATGAGCCTAAGGTTGAGTTCAACACCACCCCGGTGTTAAAAACAAAACAAAACAACTAGTATCCCATGCCAGGGGACTCCTGCCCCTTGTGCTATGAACAGAGAACAGGTGGTGCCATTGTCTTCCTTTCCACCTTTTGTTCTTAGTACCTTGCTATCTTCAGGCCTCTTGGACTAGATACAGTCTTTTTCTGGGCAGTGGGTTTGTGAGAGCCCAGCTCAGAGCCAGATGGACCAAGAAGAAAGAGGAAGCAAGGATCCACCTGGGTCTAGAAGACGAGGTCTTGAATCTTGACTGCGGGAAGGTTAGAGCAGAGGCTTTGAGGCAGGGAACCAGTCCCAGAAGATCAATGGTGGGTGAGTAAGCTGTGTGGGCTCCGGTGGCTCAAGGGCATTGGCCAGCTGAATGAAGGCAGGAGGTGAGACCTGAGGCAGGGGATCAAACGCAGGAAGAAGGGCAGACATCTGTGTTTCCTTCCCTACTGTGGTGGATCAGGAAGCAGAGACCCAGAGGGAGCCGTGATGTTTGTTTGCAGATTGTAACTTTAGCCAGAAGAGCATGTGAGAAGCAGGACCTCTGACCCCTGACCTTTACAGAATTGAGCATGGAGTCGCTGCTCATCACTACATGCTAAAATTGTAGTGGGTGAATGAGGTGCTCTGAAAGCTCCTCGCAGGGCTGTGTACATGACAACAGCGCCCATGCTGAGCCTCCCGGGGTACAGGCCTGAATCTGGTGCTTTGTGGAACCCAAGTACCAGATGAAGGCAGTGACAAGAGATTCAGAGAACAAAGTGTCCCTCTGTGTCCGGGGGCTGAGTGCTGGGGTCCTGAGGCCCATCTGGACAAAGGTTGGCAAGACTGAAGAATGCCACCTTTCCCAGGATTAAAAGGGGAAGTCCTCCAAACCTGTCTCCTCCCCATTACGGTCAGCTTAAAATAAACAGCTGTCTAGTACCGAAGAGGCCAGCCAGTGCTCCGGTATCCGTGGGCTCTGTGTTTGGGAGTGTTACCAGCCTCAGACAGACAGAAGAAATGCCTTCAGACACTAACATGTTTTTGTCTGTCCCCAACATGTGCAGATTTTTTTCATTATTATTCCATAAACAATACATGGTAATAGCATTGATGTTACATTAAGCTCTGCCACTCATGTGGAGATGATGAAATTTCAGGGGTGGGGGTGGGGATTTGGGCAGGAACTATGCAAATGTGCTTCCATTTTGTATAACAAGAGTTGAGCATCTGGGGAGTTTGGTATCTTCAGGAGTTCCTAGAATCAATATCCCACAGATGCAAAGGGACAGGATAATTTTGTTTAAATAAAGAGATTAAATATTTTTAAAGAGATTATAAAAACTAGAAGAGGAAAAATGAGAGAGTGATCGCACAATGGTTTGACCAACTCACATAAACTCAAGCAACTCACTAGAAAAGACTGAAAAAGCCAAAAAGACTCAAAGAAGGCACAGCTGGCTGCAGCCGGGTGATACCCACATGCAGGGGCCTAGTGAGATGCGCCAAGCAGGGAGAAGAGTCCTTCAGGCTGCTCCTACCCTTCTCAGTGGGTCTTTGGCAGGAAGCCAGGCCCCTAAAGCCCGTGGCCTGACACTGTGACCCCGGAGCTAGCTCAGCCTGTGTCTTGGCCAGGTTTGGCGTCTGCTGAGTTGGGGGATTTTAGCCAAGTGCACTCTGACTCAAGGGGCTTGGGGGAAGGGAAGGAGGGGAAGAATGTCACTCCCTCTACAAAGTCATCTCTTCAGACAACAAGCATCCCAGTGGGCCAAGGACGAGCCATCTTAGTGCGTCTGCTCTAGTTTTGAAGTGCTCTTCATCGTACCTCTCATCTCAACCAAGTCAGCCCTGCCAGGCCTTTGTTGCACAGACAATTCAACAGAACCTCTTGCAGGTGGCCGGTGGCCAAAAACCTTCCATTTGCTGTGAATTTATATGGCATCTTTCCAGTCGAGGCCGCACGGAGCTAATTAATGCAGTCACCACCTCCCTAGGTGCCATTAAATTCATTTTATGGCTTAATTAAGAACGGCTGCATTAATTTTATGAATGAGCAAAGGGAGGTGCCAACAGACGAAGGCACATGAAAAGTTCACGGGGTGGGAGTCAAGAGTCCCTGGCCATGTGTCCTTGGGTTTACTGTCTGGCCTCTTGGCATCCCCATGTTGGCCTGGGCTATCTAGAGGAATGAACCATGCCTGTTTTTTTGTTTTTGTTTTTGTTTTTTTTACAAATTTTTAGTGAGAACCAAAGTGCCAGATGGCTTTGGAGATCTGGGAGAGGGAGATCTTGGAGAGATCCTCTAGCGCTGCCTCCCTGTCCTTCTCCAAGGGTGCTGTCTGTCAGCATTAGCAGGGTTGGGACAGGTGGAGGGCTGGGGACTCAGGACAGGAGCTGAATCCCTGAGCCAGAATCGCCATGCCCAGTATGGCATTCTAGACCTCCTTGCTGGTTTCTGACTCTGTGGCTCTCAAAGTGAATCTCAGACATCTGTGGCCACCTTACAAGCAGTTTGTCTCCAGGCCAGTCTCATGCCTCAGCAGAAGAGGTATCCATGCTGGAGTAGGGTAGGCTGGAAGAGGGTCCTCCCACACTGAATGGTGATATGTGGACAAAGGTTTCCACGCAGGGCCAACCACTCTGCGGTGTCAAATGTCTTCCAGGAGATGATGTCTGAGTCCTCTAGAAACACCAGCAGTCCTGGGGACAATGTTGAAGCCAGCAGTGCTGCTGAGGGGCTCCAGGCTTCTTTCAAGTCACATCCGGTTCGGAGGCAGCTGAGAGACTTCATGCAAGTCCTCCTGAGGGAGCTGCTGCTTGGAGTGTCCAGCCCCAAGCAGTGGCTGCCCTTGGAAGTGCTCCTGGAGGTAACTTAGAAGGGCCATGGGTGGACGGTGGGAAGTTGGAAGGGACAGACCCTCAAGAGCAGGGAGTGACCAGATGGTACTCCCTGGCACCAGCTGGCTATTGAGAGATTGGCCATTACCACTACAGTGACCTGGTGTGGGCCTGTGAACCTCAGGCCTTGGTGGAGCAACAGATGGATAGATGTGAGGTCCTTAGATGCAGTACCTGAGGCGAGGATTTTCGAAAGTGATTTGTAAGTGTGTTTTCAGAAGAAGAGGAAGAGAAGGCAGAATTCTGGGGCAGAAGCTTGTTCAGAGATGGTCTCAGTTCAGAGATAGTCTCAGTTCTGGTCCCTAGGGACAATGGCATGCTGTGTCCCAGAGACACATGCCAGGTGGTCATTGGCTGTGAACCCCTCGGACTTGCTTCTTCACTCTGGAAGAAGGGTCACCTCCTGGGTCATTAGAGGACAATGCCTCAGTGCCTCAGAGAAAGGCAGCTCTGGCCAGTCAGCAGCCCATCTTCACCAGTCCAGCGAAGAGATGTGGTCACAAGGGGACACCATGACTTAGTGGCTGCCATCTCAGTCCTGGACCATTTTTCAGGCTTCTCCAGATGGCGCCACCAGCCAGCAGAAACGAGACTTCCAGTCTGAAGTTCTGCTTTCCACCATGGACATATTCTACGTCACAAGTGCGGGTAGAATGCCAAACCTAAGGGGTAAGTGACTTCTGCGCTCTTCTCTCTTCCCAATGTTGGGCAGCTCACTGGGAGAGCAAGATCCAAGTGTCACCTGGAATGTACACTTACTTCTGCATGGCTCTTCAGCAAGAGTCTGTTGAAGTCGGAGGGAGAGGGATGGCAGTTGCTATTTTTCATGACCCGTCTGTCATAGTTGGGCCATTATGAGTTAGAGGTTATTTCTGTTTTCTGAACCCAAATGAGTGTTCTCTGACTTCATCAGAAACCAACTCATTTCTTTGGGAATATGATTCTCTGATAACTCTTACCATCGCTCATGACAGAGTCACTGTCCAGCAAACATTTCTTTAATGAAAGGCCTGGATAAAGATGCTGCTGCTATCCTTCAACACTTTAAATCCTCATTCCAGGATAGTTAAGACTTCTTCTCAAAATCAAGCCCATGTCCCACCAGTGTTTTTTGAGTCACGGACTCCCTAGGGTTTTCCCCTGCCACACCTTGTGGAAACCTAATTGGTGTCTTATCTCTTGGTATCTGGCACAGAGGAGAGGAGGGGGCAGTGTAGGCAGAGCGTTGACATGGCAACCCAGTGTTCATCTCTTCTCTGTCTCTGGATGACAGTGTGCCTGGGCTGGGGACCTGGGCTGTGCACAGAACAGTCTTAGCTAACTCAAAATGGTTCTAGGGATCATCTGAGATCTCAACACGAGGTCAACACACAGCCTGCTGTGTAAATGAGTTTGTCTGTCTGGTTTATATTATGACTTTTTCCTCAGTTGTCCTAGTTTGCTTTCTCTACTGGGATAAAAGACTATGGTCAAAAGCAACTCGAGGAGGAAAAGGTTTGTTTGCCTTACACATCCTGATCACAGTCCCTCACTGAGGGAAGTCAAGACACGAACGCAAAAAGTGATATGGAGGAATGCTGCTTACTGGCTTGCTCTTCATGGATTTCTCAGTTTGCTTTCTAATGCAGCCCAGGACCTACCACTCTCAGTGGTCTGGGCACTCTCACACCAATCATTAATCAAGAAAATACCCCACTGACTGGCCTACATGCCAGTTTTATGGAGGCAATTCCACGATTCATGTTCCCTTGTCCCAGATGATTCTAGCTTGTGCCAACTTATCTAAAAACTAGCCTACACATCAGTCCGACATGACAGTATGGCCTTGGGCCCCTTCTCATCTGCCTTGAACATCCCACTCTCTCATTTTCATGTCAAAGAATCCTCAGAAGAGACATTCTCTTGCTTGACTTCTCATTTCCCCCAATTTATATCACTAACTGGCTTATTTAAGATCAGTTTGCTTTGAATAAGTATGTGTTCTCTGTGTACATACTAGAGACTCCATCTGCAGAACACTGGGGTACACACATGTCGTCAAGGACATGGTCACCTCAAGGGAGTTGTAGACTGTGGGGTGGAGAAGCCCACCAGACTCTAATCGCAGTCTGTCTCTTTACCCCACCCAGGCAGTAAGGAGCCCCAGCCAAACACAGAAGCTGCTACTGTTCCTTCCCTTGCAAACATCTCCTACTTTACCCAGAAGCTGGTCGAGAAGCTGCATAGTGGGATGTTCTCATCAGACCCCAGGCACATCCTTCTCTTCATCATAGAGCACATCATAGCGGTAAGAAGCCATGTCCCAGGGTGGTAAGAAACTTCCTGCTGATGGACTGGGAGTCTTCCTAGTTCAGCTGGATCTTCTGTCCAATAGTTGAAATAGAATCCAAGAGAGATAGAAAAAAAAAAAGTGGCTCTTTAAAGGCCAGGGCGTGCTTGGTAGTCACTGTGTACTGTGGACACACAGTCCTGCTTTCCTGCCTTCTGCATTCCGTACCCACAGCTTTTATCTGTAGTTTGAGAGGTGCAGATAGGACAATGATGAAAATACAAACCCTAAGCATCAGCGGTCTATAAGCAAATGGAGCTCAGCAGAGAAATATGACACTAGCCATTCTGCTCCAAGGGAACCCAACTAGTGAGCTATCCTGACAGAATGAAAAGCTGTTCATAATTGACTGGGTCCTGTTGAGGCCAAATGGACTTGTGGAGCTAGCTACCTGTGCTAAGGCTCCATACTCGGGCCCTCTGCAGCCTCCCCTGACTTGTTCATGAAGTAAATAAAGTCCATTGGTTCCCACTCTTTTAGGGCACATGGGAGAGAAAGGCAAAGCCCAGGTCTTCCAGGTGGGCTTGACGCTTGCTGACCCCTAACCACTCTGACCTCAGACTCTCCTCCCTAACGTGAGGTCATCTAATAGTCCTACTTTATGATGTCAGGCCATTGAAATGGAGTGATACATTTAAGAATATAGTGTATATAACAGTTAACAATTTATATAATATTTAACAATATGGGACTGTTGTTAACTACTCTAGTAATTAATAGTGTTTTTGTAATTATTAATAATGTACCTGTTTTAAAACATAGATGTTAACAGCATATTTTCATATACTGGACGTCAGCCGCATCACCAGTGTTTCAGAAACCTGAGATTATTGAATCCATTTTCCAAAATGTGGCTGTGGTCAGCTCTTAGCTTCCTCTTCTTGACATGAGTTTCTTCTTGAATTCTGCAAATTGCCTTTATTGATGCTTCTCTTTAGTAGAGGCTCAAGGGTGTAGCGGTCTAGTGATAGTTCAGTGTGCCATTTCAGAATATATTCACTCACAGTTCCACGCATTTTTCCAACAAAGTCCTCCCAACTATCCTTTCTCCTTCCCTACTCTCTACTGAATTTTTTCCTCTTTCCATGTCCCCCTACTGATTTCACCTCTCTTTTCTTTGTAGCCCACTTTATTTCATTATAGTTCACGTGCATGAGGTCATGGACTACTGAGGAATGTGGCTCCTCATCTCTCACCAGCAACTGACTGTCTAGACTTCCTCTGGCAGAGATGGGAGCTTTTCAGAGCCCCCCCCCCCATCTATGATGGGTGTATGCGGGCCCAGCTTGTGCAGGCCCTGTGCTAGGAGCCACAGCTGCTTTGAGTTCCGATGAGAGATACTCATCATGTCCAGAAGACGTTTCACAGAACTTCCCATCCTCCAGCAGCCTTACAGTCCTCCTTTCCCCCTTGTGCTGTTTCCTGTGCCCTTGGAGGGTTGAGCACTCAATTGCCATGTAGTCTCCTCATACTGATCAGTTGTGAGTCTCTCTGCGTTAACTGTTGCCTACTATACAAGCAAGCTTCTCTGACTGTGTAACTATTTCCTCTTCCTCTTTCTCCTTCTTCTCCTCCTTCTCCTTCTTTGTTTATTTTATTCAAGATAGGGTTTCTCTGTGTAGCCTTGGCTGTCCTGGGCTAGCTTTGTAGACCAGGCTGGCCTCAAACTCACAGAGATCCTCCTGCCTCTGCCTCCCTGAGGCATGTACCACCTCGCCCAGCTTCAGCGTAACTTCTCGATAGCATTGTTTCTGTGGTAAACTGGGTCAGTGTGTAAAACTGCGAACTGTTCATGAGCATGTGCGTGTCTTATTTTGGTGGTGCAGGTCATCGAGAACCCATCTTCCCAAAAGGACACTGTCATGAGTGCGTTGTACAGCAGTTTGAACAAAGTCATCCTGCACTGCCTCTCCAAGCCCCAGCAGTCCCTGTCTGAGTGCCTCGGCCTCCTCAGCATCCTGGACTTCCTCCAGGAGCACTGGGACATCATCTTTGCCACTTACAATTCCAATGTCAGCTTCCTCCTGTGCCTCATGCATTGTCTTCTGCTGTTGAACTCGAGGAGGTAAGAAGGAGGCCTCCTGCTCTGTGCCAGCGGTCAGTGCAGAAAGGCAAGTCACAGAAGGGAAGGCTATATGGTGGAGGGCAATCTTTGTGAAAGAAGCTTTCTGTTTAGCTGGATAGCTGAAGTTGTGTGTGGGGCTTGATAGACAAGCCCTCCCCAAGTCCATGTGACTGAGCAACTAGAGGCACCAAAAAAATAATAATTTACCTCATTTCCACAATTCTAAGACATTTAATTGATTTCATTTTTTTTCGAGGCAGAAGATGCAAACATTAAGTGTAAATATTGATTTTTTTATATATCCATATTTCAGAAACATTAATATTTGATAAATGCAACTTTAGTGTGGAAAAAAAATCATAATTCAATGTACCATAGAAGTGAGGAATAATTTTCTTCACGGAAAACTATACACAAATATGTATGGGATTCAGAATACCAACAAACACGCTTGTCTAAGAAACACTGACCAACTGCTACTGAATAAGCCCGTGCTCTGGAAACCCCATTGAATCTATGGGGCTTGACTTTTTGTGTGTTCAGCTCATCTTTCTGCCCATTTAGGTGGAGGGCATTTATTCTTTCGCCGGAAGTGCTTGGGACCAGATGTGTTTTATATTTTGGATTCTTAAAAAATTTTGTAATATTTGTATATCTGTCTATCTATATCTACTCTCTCTCACACACACACACACACAGAGAGAGAGAGAGAGAGAGAGAGAGAGAGAGAGAGAAGCTATACATGTATATGAAAATGAAGTATATTGAGGTTAGTTCCTAGAAGTAAACATCACGCTTATTTATTTCAAATATACCTTACATATGTGGCCTGAAGTGTTTTGTCCACTATGTCTAATGCGTGTTTGTTTCTCTTGGTAACCACACATGGGGTCCAGTAGAGAGTTTTCCACTCACAGTGTCATTTTGTTTTGAAGAGCTTCAGATTCTGGAATCTTTTGAACCCCGACTTCCAGGCTAGGGATGCTTGGCTATACTGAGCCTGTGTATGGGCCTTCTCATCCAGAGAGCAGCTTTGAGAAAGAAGACAGTAGGATGTTTGAGACTTCCTCCTGTCTGTTGAGACAGGGTCTTTCGACGTAGAACAGCTACCTCACACTCACAGCAATCCTCCTGCTTCAACCTCTAGAGTGCTATATTGACACCAGTCATGCCTAGTTTCCCACTCTTTCTCCTCGTCTGAGGTTTATTTTTGAGAAGTAGCATAGTCTGACCTCAAACTTGCTATGTGGCTGATGTTGGCCTTGAACTCCTGATCTTGTTGCCTCTACAGCTAGGGTCCTGTGATTATTTGCATCAACCACCATGACCAAGGTTACCTTTCTTGATTATATTTATACCAGTATAAATTATAAGTTTAATCATTTGAATAAAAAGATCTCTCTAAATCCTGAAGCTATTCTTGTTGAACATCAGTTATCACTGGTGCTGATTCAGCTTAACACTCTCTAGAAAGCCAATCATATATAAGGTTATTGTGCCAGTCCTCAGGAAGTTAAAGCAGCAAGGTCATGAGTTCAAGGCCAGCAAGGATGAAGTAGAGGCCTTGGGAAGCCCAGGGGAAGCTTCCCCTCCAGAGCAGACACTTATACCTCCATTTTTTTAATTTGAAAAACATCCATTTTCAGCATATGGTTAAGCCTAGAAGCTTTCCCTTGTCTCTTTATGTGGTAGCCCAGGTGAGAGGACCAGAATTCCCTTTTGCATATTCAAAATGGCATCCTCTTCAGGACTCTCTGTAGAACATTTTATTCTCTAAATTTCAGCAACGGTCTTTTTTTGTATGTAGGACAATTTTTATTTTTATGTTTGCTATTTTATATTTTATCTACAGGTTATAAGTATTTTTTTCACTCAGGAAGCTGAGCAGAGCCTCTGGAGGAAAAAATGTGGCACGAATGTGAATGGGGCTACCACAGCCTATGGCTGCTGGAGAGTCCAGTGTATGAACCACTGTGCTCCCTTTAGAACTGGATGTATCTAGTGTGGGTCCCTGACTAAATTAAAATATGAAGCATGCATTTAAGAATGTCTAGTGTTTTCAAGAGGCTAATAACAGAGTCATTCAAGGTGTAGGACCCTGTGTAGTTACATGCCCTGGAAACTAGCCCTGGTTATGGGATGATATCAAGGTCCAATAGAGGGCCAGTGCTGATGACATGGCAGAGACACTAAGAGATGAGTCATTAGCTCTGCTAGAGGCACAAGTAGGATTTCACAAGCTAGGGCAACCTATAATGATGAGGCATTTTTTCCTTCTTCCTGGAAAACCGTTGTTCAGTATCTCATGGACTCCATCATGGTGTGTGTCTTTTAAAATGCCTCTGCATACTTTTCTATGTTGATATGTACTGAGTTTAAGGGGTGGCCTCTTACAAAAAGAGGGTCTTTTCTGAGATGGACACTCAACCAAAGACCATGAGAGGATAAAACCTAGAACCTCTGCTCGGATGTGACCCGTGATAGCTCAGTAATCAATTGGTTTCCCATAGTAAGGGGAACAAGGACCATTTCTAACAGGAACTCAATGACTGGCTCTTTTACCTCCCTACCTCCCAAGGGAGGAGCAGTACTGTTAGGCCACAGAGGAGGACATTGCAGCCAGTCCTGAAAATAATTGACAAAGCAGAGTCATATGAAAGGGGAGGAGGTCCTCCCCTATTAGTGGACTTGGAAAGGGACAGGGAGTAGATGAGGGAGGGAGGGTGGGATTGGGGAGGGAATGAGGGATACAACTGGGATACAGGGTTAATAAACTGTAACTAATGAGAATAAAAAAAATTAAAAAAAAAAAAAGAATGGTCCTGAGGAAACTTGCATTTACAGTGGAGTTGTTCTTGTTTTCTAGTTATCCTGAAGGTTTTGGACTGGAGCCCAAGCCCAGAATTACCCCTTATCACCAAGTCTTCCTTTCTCCAGTTGAAGAAGTGAAAGATAAGAAGGAAGAAGACCTCCCAAGTTTGAGCGATGGTACATTCTGCTAGGTTCCTGTGTGGGGGTGGGGTGGAAAGCAACAGCCGCAGTATTGCATTCTTCCGTTGATCTTTCCCAAGTGACATACACAATTTATATGAAGGAAAATCCCAGAGGTCAGGAGCAACTGTAGAACATTCTAGACGGGTGGGAAAGCACAGCAAGCTGAGATGAGAGGCATTGGAGTGATCTATGTAGGCTTGAGACAAGATCGAAAGGAATGTATGAGGGGATACATGTATAACTGGAGGGTGGAGGCATGGATGAGAGGATGTAGGAGTGGACGGGAGGATGGGTGGGAGGATGGAGGTAAACAAGGTAAGATAGAAGAATGGATGAAAATGATGGAGAAAAACCTTGTCTTACTTCAACCCCTTGGATCCTCACTCTTAAGTTGAAACATACATGACATCTCAATTAGTTCAAACCAGTACCAGTACTGTCAGCTTTTTTCCACAGAATTTACAGTTTATATAGAACACACACACACACACACACACACACACACACACACACACACACACA